TTGGATGGATGCTAGATGTTGTGGAAGAGGGAGGCTCTGATTACCATGTGAAGATTGCGGTAAACGTCTTGCCTCGGTGCGAGGGGACGTGGTTCGTGTTTATAGGCAGGGGCGCAGATCCCTGTAGCGCATACATAGTAGATAGAATACATCTTGGAGAGGAAGAAAGAGAGAGATAGAGATAGCCACGGTTAAAGATAACTATCTAGGCTAAACAAACTACCAGAATATCTCCAAGTAATCTATCACGTTACAATGGTGCAATATGCACCAAACTATGTGTTTAACAATCAGTACACTGCAGAATCTCTGACCAGCAACTCAATCGAAATGAAAAGGATGCTTTCATGGTGTAAAGTTCCTGAACGATTATTAACAAAATGTACAAATCCTCTCAGTAAAAGAAGTCACTAACAAGAATGACACCAAATCCAAACTTGGAAGTTAACTATTGATTACATCTGTAAATGGAACGACATGAGTTTATCATTCTCCCTTGGCATAAAAAGATTACATCTTCTACCATATGGTGTAAATGTATAATCAAGACAACTATTGCGAGTATACCTATTTACACAAGGCCACACATAACTATAAGTGAAATCCAAGTTGTCGCTACAAATGTTATCTCGCTGGAAATACAGATGAGCATTTCCAAAAGAAAATCCGTGGAGTTCTACAGCTCATGCCAGTAATATCATCTATACATCAGATGAACTCCTTAGAAAGCTAAGTCCAAGTCCAGGTAGCTTCCACCTCATGCTTCCATCGCTCGAGGGCAACACCTTGTGGTTCTCCTGGAATGCAAAGAGAGCCAATCAAAAATCATCATCCAAGGCAGCAAAACAAACTTGATTTGTGTAAACAGAGCGCATCGATATAAGGGGGTCATTGTTTGCAATGTTCGGAAACTGAAACCAAACCTGGCTTTCGTCCTCGCTAGGCTCAGCTACTGATGCGACCGTTTGAAGAGATACAAGAGGAGACTGCGGCAACTGCAGGAAAGTAACATGCAGCAAGAAATGCATAAATTAGATTCCCGGTGGCAAGAGCTGGAAAGGCAGAGCCTTTTTTTCACCTTAAAAACTTTTAATACGAAAACAAAGGTTAGTCTTATTTACAATTTTGATCTTTTGCTCTGATGAGGATCCTAGAGCTGGAAGGAACGATGAAACCTGAAAATTGAAAACGTCTCTTCAGACTAAGAATCTAGAAGTATGGCAGTTGATGCAGAACCAGTAGCGAATCATGTAAGCAACATGCCACTAAGGAATTGCATAAGCTAGGCCGACGACTTGCCTGACGAATATTGGGATTCTGGCCACTATGTTCTAATTGTTGGCTGAACCCAACCAAGGCTTCAGTTGCACGCACAGTACGATCCTGATACAGGTTTGAAACTAGATAATATCAGGAACATGTAAAGGAAAAACAGAAGGGGAAGGGCGAATAATGGACATGTACTTACCTGGGTGTCCTCGATACCAGACAGCCTTGACCCCTGCAAGATAAATAAGTGCACCCGTGAGTGATATGTAGCTCCAGAGTAAGCAAGTTTTACATGTTTCAGTACAAGGCACGTACCCATATTTCAACCGTACGGCTGACTTCTTGGAGCTCCTTCTGAAAGGCGCTCAGATCCACATGGATCACTGCAACCTACAAGACAGTAAATAAATTTAGTGCAAAACCAAAATGAAATAAATAAAGAATATAGCCAAAAATAATTTAAGTCGAAGATAGACGAGCCCAGATTCCTAATGAATAAATGGAAACTCGAAAACGATCCTTATGATTCTAAAAGAATGAGGGGCAAGGGGATTGATACCGAGAAAGATTTCTTCTTATTACTCCCTCCGTCTGGAAAAGCTTGTCCCTCAAATGGATGTATCTAACACTAACTTGGTGCTAGATACATCCATTTGAGGGACAAGTTTTTCCGGACGGAGGGAGTATAAGACATGATTTGATCTGCATTTTCTTGGTAAAAGAACAATCTTCTTAATCATATGATAAATGGAAAGTTTTCAATTATGATTAAATGGAAAGTGTTCAATTAGAACATGAAAACGTGACTTAGTTGGCCTTAGGGTTCCTTCAAAGGAATTGACCGAGGAGCCGTATGAGGTGAAGATGTCATGTATGGTTCTGTAGAGGTATCGTTGTTTCGTTTCGCCATCCAAAAGTACCAGAAAAGGAAATATTTATGCAGCAGGAATGTTCCAACCTCATCCCTTGTCCCTTCGATAATTTCTTGTGTTTCGTCTAGATTAGCATCGACCCGGTCGATCCTTCCGGAAAGATGTTTCTTAGTAACCTGAAATGGACGTATATGTTCTTCTTCATGTAAGATAAAAAGGTCAAGATGGATGTATAGCATGGTTCGGCACAACAGTCGATGTGCAATATCAGTAAAAAAAAGGACCTTGCCTGTACTGTATTTGAAACACCATCTAACTGTTTTCCAACGACATCACAGGCATCGGCTAGACCGCGCTTCGTCACCCACATCATGTCAGAAATCTTCCAACCCTGTAAATTATCGCGCGAATTTTAGATATATACTAGCATGGTGATAATTAGCAATTCTGGATGACTTCAAAAGCAGAATGACCTGCAACTAGAAGGAAATAATCTAGGATAGTATTACAGCCTCAGTGTTGTGTAGTCTTGGATCGCCTAAAACAATGAGAGTTTACCTTCCACCTGATGTATGTGTAGCCGATAAGCCCAGCAACGACAATTGCTGTTATGGTATAGGAACCAGACCCTACAAAAGAAGAAGGTAACTAAGATATGATAATAATTCACATATTAAATACTTACCAGCTATAGGAATTCACATATTCAGATAAGAATTGTACAAACTAGCTAGAGGGCCAAAATCATATAACCATGTACGACGTCTAAAGGGCATGATGAAAAAACGATAGATCAAATCCAACATAAGACACATTTGCATAATCAATTTGGTTGAGAACCGAGACAAGAAAACAGGCGAGCACTGACCTGATGTGTCGGAGATAACCGTAACATTCTCGTCTCTGCGGCGTACGACTCGCTGTACCTCCTCCTTGATACTGTTGAGCTGAAAATGTTTAGCAGAGTCAAGCAACGCCATTTTAGATCTAAAGTCTGTCAAACCAATCTGGCCGACACGTAAAACAAACATCCACAACAAACAAACCTGTGACGCCAACTGATCGTTGCTGTCATGCTTGCCGGTGTTCTTCACAAACTAGAGGAGGAGACAAACAAAGTTACAAAACTGTCACGCGGCGTGTGTACAATCGAATCAACCCGACTGATCGAGAATAAAGGCACCGAGGCAAGGTAGGTGATGAAAGTAGGTAATTACATGGGCAAGCGTGTCCCCGATGATGGGGACTTTCTTGGCGTCGCCTCCTGTAAGAATAGTGCTGAGATATCCTGCCAAGAGACCGAGAAGAAAGAAAGAAAGTTTTTGCAATCCGTTAGTATGCTTTGCAGAATAATTTGCGGCGTTCCCCTAAATAAAGGCTAATTGCAGATTGTTAAAGAACAGAGGCTGCAATTCTCAATCAAGGGGGGGAGGCTGCAAAAGCTTTGCTTGAAGCAAGTAAGAAGACAGAATTATAGATACAGGGATGGGTTGTGAGCGAGCAGTTGGATTGGATTGGATTATTTGTAGCCATCAAAGTAAACTAGAGTAGGAACCAAAGTGATCCGTTGATCCGTATGTACCCACCCAGCGGGTAGGTAAGCTAAACCCTAGGCAGGAAGCTAGATGTAAGCTAAACCCCAGCATCAGCAGCACATCAGATAGATTCAGAAGGACGCGGCAGTCGCCGGCGGCGACGAGAGAACCGTAGATGCATGGCAGATAGATGTGGACCGAAGCTGAGGGGTGATGAGCACGGGAACTCACCGGAGCCGAGCACGACGGCGATGTTGCCGAGCGCCATGGCGCCGAAAATCCAAGCCGGGCAGCACGGCCGAACGAGCGAGCACCGGAGCTAGCACGTGGCCCTCGACGGCGACGGCGAGATCGGGCGCGCACGTACGGCCGGTGGTGGGCGATTCCGCTCCCTGCTGGTTTATTATTATTCTCTCGCCGTACGTAGTACGTGTCTGTATCGTCTGGCGGCGGTTAAAACCGACCAACGAATAAACGGAAGCAGAATCTCGTTGGATTTAGTTTCTTTCATTCCAATCACACGAGACTCCTTCCTTCCTTTTTCCCGGATTTTCCCTGGCCGTTGGGTTTTAGATGGACGGACGCGCGTGATCCGACGGGCAAAGCGGTAAATTATTATGCCCTTAACTCTTTTCTTTTTTGACAACTATTCGTGTGCCCTAAACTTTTTTTTTTGGACAACTATTCAGGTGGGTGGCCGTTTGGCAAATCGGCTTTGGATTACTTTCAAAAAAAAATCGGCTTTGGATTGAATTAACCAAATTCCGTTGATAACCGGACCTTCTTGGGGAACAAGGCAAGGATTCCCAACAAATACAAATGAACAGCCCGCGTCCAGTGTACCGACACACGCACGCCCCTTATTCTTGGGAGATCAAGGAACGGATGCAGTGTGTTACAGTGAGTTCATTCATGTTCCGACCGATTCAACCATCATTTATCCAAAAGACCGAACTGGTAGAGAAAGGGGGGCGGGCAACATATTTCAACACAGCGACACAAACCAGAGGACCCTGCCTACAAAAGGTACTACTCTCTCCATTGCAAAACTAATAAAGGTCAAACATCGAAAAGCCTGATTTATTTCTGAAGGGCAGAAACATTACGCCTTATATTTTGAAGCGGAGCCTGTATCATCATATCATAAACCGCGGCTACCATTCACAAACAAAAAGCATCATCAACTCCAAACGCCATCCATGCCATGAATGAAAATGCTGCATCTAACTAAAAGCACCCATTATTATCAATACAAACCAAACCCATGGTCCTGGGCAGGTTCAGAGGCAGTAGTAGCTAGTTTCAAAGTTAAGGGCGCGCCTGTTTAGGAGGATCCCGGGGTGGAGGCGCTTGCGGCGGTGGAGGCGGCCGCCTCCTTCTTCTTCAGGTCCTCAAACTTGTCGATGGTGACCTGCAGCTCGTCGGTGCTGCCCACTGCCCACATGGTGTAGTAGTACACCCCAAAGACGAACCCAGTCAGCCCGCCCGCCACCACCACGTTCTTCGTCTTGGGCGCCAGGCTGCCAAACCCTGCCATCGACGACGACGAAGACAACTAGGTTGCTGCTGCTGCAGGACAAAAATGTGGAAAATGTTACATGTAGTTACCAATCCAAGGTGCGAAACACAAAAAATGGTCCTCTCACAACTGAGAGAAAAGTTACGACGCAGCGACAACAAACCAGAGGACCCTGCCTACAAAAGGCACTGCTCTCTCCATTGCAAAACTAATAAAGGTCAAACATCGAAAAGCCTGATTTATTTCTGAGGGGCAGAAACATTACGCCTTATATTTTGAAGTGGAGCCTGTATCATCATATCATAAACCGCGGCTACCATTCACAAACAAAAAGCATCATCAACTCCAAACTCCATCCATGCCATGAATGAAAATGCTGCATCTAACTAAAAGCACGGAGGGGAACTTTTGGTCTATGGGGACATATGCACCCTATATGGGAAAAAAATTAGTAATTCAACAAAAAGTCAAAAATTCCTGAAAATATTTTTGAAATAAACTTGACCTTCTATTGTACTCGTGAAAAATAAAATCCACAAAAAAAATATCCTTTTGACTTCTTTTCAAAAAAGACAAATTTCCGGTCAAAATAGCGTGAATAGTGACCTATAATAGCAAATAAATTTTGTCTTTTTCGCTGTGAAGTCAACATCTTTTTCTTTTTTGTGAAAATTATGTATACTAGTGCGTAAGTAAGTCAACTTTATTCTAAAAATAGTTTCTTAACTATTTTGACTTTTTGTTTAACTATTAAAAATAAATCCCCATATAGGGTACATATGTACCCAGGAACCATTGGGTATTTCCTCTAAAAGCACCCATTATTATTATCAATACAAACCAAACCCATGGTCCTGGGCAGGTTCAGAGGCAGCAGCTAGTTTCAAAGTTAAGGGCGCATTTGTTTATGAGGATCCCGGGGTTGAGGCGCTTGCGGCAGCGGCGGAGGCGGCTGCCTCCTTCTTCTTCAGGTCCTCAAACTTGTCGATGGTGACCTGCAGCTCGTCGGTGCTGCCTACCGCCCACATGGTGTAGTAGTACACCCCGAAGACGAACCCCGTCAGCCCGCCCGCCACCACCACGTTCTTCATCTTGGGTGCCAGGCTGCCAAACCCTGCCATCGACGACAACGACGACTAAGTTGCTGCTGCTGCTGCTGAAGGACAAAAATGTGGAAAATGTTACCATGTAGTTACCAATCCAAGGTGCGGAACATGAAAAATGGTCCTCTGGCAACTCGAGAGACAAGTGACTGGTTCCATGCCGGTATCAAATTCAACGCGGGGCATGGATGTGAAAGTATGTTACTACATGTAGGCACCACTTCAAAATACAGTCTGTACACTTTCAAACTAGGCATTGCGGGGGCAGTTTGAAGATGTAGAGATTTGTGTCATACTACAATCTGACTCCCCTCTGGTGCTTATACAGCCTGGCATTCAGCAGCTTTGCGACAACTGACAATTACTGTCACACCAACAAGAAACATAGGGGTTAATGGCAAGTAGCCTCCCTATCTGAACCAAATACTGTCTGTACATCACAGCACGACCTACTGACGCTTCGTTCAGCCATACAAAGCACTCTAGGAAGCACTAGAACATCGGGCCTGAGCAATCGTCTATGTCTCACAAGGCCTGTCTACCTGGTGCTGGAACTTGTCGGAGACAATGGTGCACTGATCCCAGAAACAGAGACAGAGGGAGGTCCATTCAAACTAAAACCATTGGAAACATGAAGACGCTGTTGGAAAACTATTATCTACAGACATGTGTGAGATATCTTGTGTAATTCTTTTAGGAAACAAACGCAAGGCCCTGCTTAACTCCAAAAAAAAAAAAATTGGGCCTATATAAATCGCTCTGCACAAGTGTTTCAAAGACACACAGCGCAATTTATTTATCTTGGCAGTGCTTACTGGAATTCTGATACAGCCGACGTACTGAAATTAAGGTGTACAAGATTTGGTGTATATGTGTAGTCATAATAGTACTACATGGATTTCTTCCATGGCTGTTTAGCGTCTGTACTCTGTGCAGAACAGGATCAGATCCTTGGGCTGAAATCTCATGGATATACTCAGTCCCCCCACCCCACCCTACCCTGCGAAACTGAAACCTGGTAGATGCGTGATTTCAGGTGGTGGGCTCAGCTCAATTTACTTCCCCCTTCCCTGCTGCTATGGAAGGAAAATAGGGGTTACTGGCGAGTAGCCTCCCGATCTGAACCAAATACTGTCTGTGCATCACAACACGGCCTATTTATCGTGGCAGTGTTTACTCGAATTTTGAAAGTGAACATACTGAATTTTGAAAGTGAACATACTGAAATTAAGTAGTACTCTACTATCCAGAGGTTAGAAGATTTCGTGTGTATATATAGTCATAATAGTATTAGTACTACAGGGAAATCTTCCATGGCTGCTAGTCTGCACTCTGCAGAACAGGACCAGATTCTTGGGCTAAAATCTCATGGATTCATTATTCACATCTGCCGAGCTTTGGCCTTGAGCAGTCCCCCGACCCCACCGTCAACGCTACGAAATCGAAACCTGATAGATACGCGATTTCAGGCGGTGGGCTCAGTTCAACAATTCACTTCCCCCTTCCCTGCTGCGGAGTGCAAGCTACACGAATTAACCATCTACTGCTATGGTTGCGGTTGGATCATAAGACCAGGAATAAATCATGTATCGGCTGAAATTTTCCCTCCCCCTTGGAACATCTCCCAGCGGCCGACCGTGGAGCTCGGCGACGGCAGACGGGCAGAGGGCTTTCTACGGGTGACCCAACACCTGGCGTCCGGAGAGCCTTCGCCGTACACGGGGTCGGGATCGGGACTGGGGGTGCTGAAGAATCCACTCCAGGGGCAAGCGCCCTGGTTCTGCGTTGGGCTAATCGTCGTACTGATGGAAGAAGGGGTGAATCGGGGTGGAGAGGAGAGGGCGTACCTGACTGGTGGGCAGACGAATCGGAGCGTGAAGGCGGCGGCGGGGGGCGACGGCTGACGGCGACGGCGACGGCGGCAGGGCAGGGCAGGAGGAGAAGGAAAGGAATGGAGGAGCAGGGAAGGGGAAAATCGGTCGGTCTTGGTTGGTTTGCTGGGCTGGGCCTCGACTGCTGTGGTGGGCTTCGGTGGCACCCCGCCGACTTCTTCCTCCTCTTGTTTTGGCCCACTGCTAAAATTAAAGGAAAATTTCTTCAAAGCACTTTGAGGGTGCCTTCTCTCACTCAAAAAAAAAAAGGGATGCTTACCCCCAAACGCTTCTCGTGATAATAAATGGAATGAGCCATGTGTGCCACTTGTCTCCATCATAGGTTTTCGGTGAGATTCTTTTTCCTCTGCGGGAAGAGATGTGAGGGCCGCACGTATGCTTTTAACTTTTTGGATTCAATTTTTGGAAATGAAATGTCTCGGACCATGCATCCAAATTGCGAACCATATTCATCGTTGTGTTCTTCCCCGTCAAGATGTTAGGAAATAGATCCATGTTGATAGGTTTAGATGGAATTTTTCGCCTTAATTTTGGAAGCAGACAGGCCGCGTCCATCGGACCCTCTTGCACCCCTCTCCCTCTCTTTCCTCCTCCCACAATACCCTCTCTCCATGATGATACATTGTCTGCTTCCCCACAGAACCTCCACCCCACCCCGACCGGCCACCTCCCTCCGCCTCGTCGAGTCCGCCTCCACACTGGACATGCAACAAATTACCATACAACAAGTTTAACGTTTGAAGACAGGATTTTTTTTTCTATCGAGTGAACGTAAAGATGATTGTGTACATCCTATGATGCAGAGGCCTGGTTTTTTTTATTTGAAGAGGACAGGTGTTTAACCTCCTTTTTGAATATATAAAATAATAAAGCCAAGTTGTATGGGTTCACCATGAGAGAAAAAAAAGCCGTATGGCTAGTGGGAAGGCGGATCCGGTAGTGCAAAGGGAGGTGGCCCTCGGGAGGGGTGATCGGTAGGTCAGCCTACGGGTGGACACGGGCCGTCCATGGTGCCCACTTAAAAGCCCACTTAATTTGCTTTCGTGAACACCCAAAGATGTGGACTACGTGGGCTAATCCCATGGTGCCCACTTATCCAGCTCAGAGAGTCGAAACCAATTTCAATAAAAAAAACACAAGACATATTATCCAAACTAAAACTTAAATTTAATGGCTCAGAGTTGACCGATGGCGATGCATGGGCCCAGAGCACAAAGCCTACATATCACTCACTTGACGTTATGTTTCCTCTCGCACTGTAGCACCTATTTATCTAACCTTTTCTTTTTCCTTCTTTTCTTCTTCCATTTAATTTTTCGTTTTCTTTTGATGTTTTCCTTTTTTATTTATTAACAGAATTAAAATATGTTCATGTAATTTTAAAATTTGTGAATTTGTAAAAAAATTGAGACTATTAAAAATATATGTGCACCTACACGAAAAGGTTCACTAATTTTAAATAATGTGTTTAGATTTAAAAATGCATACATACTTCACGAAAATATCTGTGGTTTAAAATTGGTGGATGAATTTTCAAAAAAGTTCCAAAACCTTGAAAATATTTTGAAATTTTAAAAATGATCTATAGTTTTTGAAAAAATTGTGAATTTAAATAAAAAAAATCTTTAAGAATTTGGAAAAATGTTCATCTAAGGTGCATCATTTCTTGTGGAGATTTGCGCACAATAGTCACCCAATGTATATGAATATTAGTAGAAGGGGTTTAGAGCTTGATACACGGTGTGCTGTTTGCGACCGGTTGTTCGAAGATGGAGGGCATCTTTTTCTTAATTGCAGATGGGTGAAACACATTTGGCGAGCGTTGATGCAGGAAGAGGTGAGAGTGAAATTTTCACAGCAAATTTCCGCAAAGGGAGTAGTATATGCTATTTTGCAACTTTGAGAGGAACGAAGGATGCTTAACATTGCTCTTCTTTGGTCTTGGTGGCACGAGAGAAACCGTGGAAATCATGAAGAACGCAGAGCCACGGTAGAAGAATTTCAATATGCTATTCGTTTTCATGTGAATGAGTGGAATGAGTTCCTGAATAAGAAGCCAGTTTCTCAAGCGAGCATCCATAGTTCTTGGAAGCCACCACCATCAGATTTTGTTAAAATTAATATTGATGGAGCCTTTTCAGAACACAATGAATACAGTGGATGGGGATTAATATGCAGAGGTGCCTCCCATGAAGTCCTTTTTGCTGCAGCGGGCTCATCCCAATCAATTTCCAATGCTTTACATGCTGAGACAGTGGCTCTTTGCACTGCTGTTAAGTGGGCTGTTCAAATGGGGGTGGGCAGAGTATAGTTTGAGACTGATTGTCTAGTGCTACAACAAGCTGTGTCATCGAATATGTACGACTTGTCTTCCCTTGGCCAAATGTTCAAAGAGCTTAAGGCGAATCTTGCCACACAATTTATCCAGGCTATGGTTGTACACACGCCACGTGTTTGTAACAAGCCAGCGCATGTGCTGGCTGCTATTGGTGCGGGTTTAGTTACTGGAGAGTCTAACCAGTGGTTCTCTAACTATCTTGATGATGTACCCCGTGCTGTAACCGGCGATTTAGCCGTGTCTTAATGGAATACGAGTGTTCCATCTAAAAAACGAAGCAAAATTTCCATTCGAAGAAACAAAATGAGAGCTTTTTTTTGCGGGTAGAAGGGGAAAAAATGAGATATCTAGTCCTTTTTTGCACTCATGGAGTCATGTGTTGTTGAGCTGGAATTCTTGCATGTCAGGCCACCTGCGGGATTTATCGGCATCAAGGACCGCATGCGACGTATGCGCAAACTTATATCAGCATAAAGGATCGCCCGTGAAAATCGTTGCCAAAACAACACTCGCGGATGGAGACACGTGGCGGATGCCGCCATGGCGGCAGGCCCTGCCGCAGTTGCATGGGGTGACTAGTTGGGTTGCACATGATTTCTTCGGCTGAGACTCGCCGAAACGAAACGGTTGACTTGCCACCATCTGCAACGGCGGCAGGTCGTGTGTTGTTGCTAACGTGAGAGCGCCTAGGCTAAACAAACCAAACTTTTTCTTCGAAAAGAAGCGAGAAGCAAAACGAAACCCTTGACCTTTCCGTCTTCCTTTTTCTTGCGAGAGTTGTAGGGTTTGCACTCATGACTTCTGAGGGTTTTTTTTGAGGGGGTGGCGTCATGGGTTGAGTTTGAGAGAACCTTGAGACAACACTAGTAAGTTGGCCGCCTTGTACAAGTAGCTCACGCCAAAGCGTCATGCTTAAAGCGCGCCAGAGGTCCGCGCGCGAGCGATGACACCTCTGGTCAACGAGGCGGAGCATGCCCAACTCTTCGAGAGGCTAGAGGCAAAGGGCGACGAGGCGCCAGAGCGGCAC